AATAGATCTCTACACAATGTATATTTGATGAAAGAACAAAACTACAACACGATACACTCATTTAGCCGGTCATTTATCGTATATATTTCTACGCGCGTTCTATTTTTACCTCCAATTTGTATTAATCGCGCGCTTCTACGCAAAACTATAGCTCAGTAAAATTAGACTTGAAAAGGGCAAAACTTCAAAAAAATTCTAATCAGGTTGAATTTTTGTGGAGACTTTTATTAATAAATAACAATAGACCTTTATTTATAAATAACGTCGAAATTTTGATGTTTTAATAAAATCCTCAAAAGTACTTTTAATATCAGCCAGGCATTTTTTATGGGGGTAAATTTTAGTCTTTTGTAATTATCTCGAAAATTATCAACTTTTAAAGAAAATTGTTATTATCAAAATTGTAGCTCAGAAAATTCTCTACAAAAAGATCATTATACTTTTTTTCGTACAACTAATCGTTTTTGAGTAAAACGTGCGGTAAAGTTGCAATATTTCTAATATAATTTTTCTGCACCTCTTACAAAGTAGTAATGTGTACATTTTCTTTCAGACTTAATTCGCTCTATATCTTCGAAACGATTAATTCCACGGAAACAAGTATGACTTTTTTGTAGGGAATTTTATAAGCTACAATTTTAATAATAACTATTTATCTCGAAAAATTGATAGTTTTCGAGATAATGGCAAAAAACTAAAATTTATCCCTTTTCATCCGCCATGAAAAAACGTCCTGGCTGAAATTAAGGGTATATACTTTTCAGGATTTCATTAGAATATCGAAATAAATAAGGTCTCCACAAAAATTCAGTTTGATTATAATTTGTTTGAAGTAAAAGTCTAATTTTACTGGACTAAAAACAAGGAAGCTCGGCGAGAAGACGAACGAGGATATAAGTGAGCCGACGACGACACCCGTCTGGGTGCAAATATAATTCGCGATCTCCTCGTGGGCGAGTTAAGTGGTCGTGGCGAGACGTGGTAAACGCAGAACAGGCCACAATTAAGGAGACACGATATCTCCGTTCGCGACTGACGTGGCTGGATTGCGCATTTCGCTTTGAATTTGCTTTAAAGCGCGGAACGATAGCGAGCGCACACGCGAATCCGGAAGGTCATACGATAGAATTAACACGAGTACATGTATATTAAAGATGAGTTTTCTTTCTACGTTCATGCATCGCTTCTGTTACATTTTTTCTGCAAAATTTAACTAATTTTTTTTTACTTTTTTTTCGAGGAACCATCTGCGTTTCTGGTCGAGACGATATATACATATATATATATATATATATATTATATATATATAACTATTTATTTAATATATTATATATATAATTATATATATATAATATTATATACATTCAATCATGACTTTAATGGGTAATCTCCCTCCATTTTACATACAGAAACGCATTACAAGAGATAAGAGATTGCGGAAATAATCTTTATAAAAATGATATTTATAAAAACTCAATCAATTTACAGGAAGATACAAACATTTGAATTCAATATACGATTCGATTCTAATATAATATAAAGTTTAGTACTTACAGAATGCTCGATTTGCACGCATTGTCTCTCAACGACGCATTAAAGTAACGACTTACTTTAAACGTGCCTGTGCAATGAAATAAATCTGTGATGTGTTTAAGTTAGCCAGTCTGGTCGTTTACTTTAGCTGTCCTTGATAAAATATAATAATAAAATATATGTAAAATATCAAATGATATGTAATATCAGGAGACGCGGTAGTGTCTCCGGCCATGTTCAAACCCTAAAAGACCTTAAAAAAGACACTACAAGTCTCTTATCCTGCACCATCAAAGTCCATCTTTTGGGGGTGTAGAACTACTAAAATATAATAAATTTTGAATTGCACGTAATATAACCTGAAAGGCGGCATCGCCACGAGTAATTTGAGCCAAGAAGGAATAAAATCGGTCAAGCCGTTCTGGAGATACAAGCGGTCAAAAAGTGACGTTTTCATGAAAAATGAAGTAACGTCGTCTTCTTCTTCTTCTTCTTCATCTTCTTCTTCTTCTTCTTCTCTGTCCGCGTCCGCTGACGTCATCAGGGATTATATATATATATAATATATATATAAATCTCTTCTCACCTTTCACTCACAACCTCCCTAAACTTCCATCCCACCCGTTTCAGTACACAGAACCGGACCCCCGCCACCAACCAACTCCCAACTACAAACCCCTCTGGAGCCACGACAACATACCTCTTTCGGCCTCTTTTTTCAGGGGGTTTAGGCAGATAGAAAAAAGAGGTTGGAATCTTCAAACACCTTTAACAAGAGGGTAGGAAGATTTAAAAATTTTAGTTTCTCTTTCACCATCTTTCGCCTCTTTCACCCTCTTTCGTCCTCTCTCACTTCTTTCATTCTCTCTCACCCTCTTTCACCCTTTTCGTTCTCTTTCACCCTCTTTCGCCTATCTAGTCTTCTCTTACTCTCATTCGTTCCTTTCTTACCCTATCTCCAAAAAAATCATAAAAAATGAAAAGGTCAAGCCATGTTCAAAAAAAGGTCCTCAAAAATTTAAACCTAGTCTGTACAATGAAAAAACTGCACTCAAAAAACTATGATGTTTCTCATGTCATTTAAAAATAATGTCAAAGCTCTTACAGAATAATTACTACAACATTTGAAGTACGAAAGTATTACATTAGAAGAAGATTAGATTAGAATAAGGATTCAACGTTATTTTTAAAAGCTCTACACACAACGAAGTGAATATATAAAACTGTATACAAATACCTTTTTCTTCTGTGTTCTGAAGAAAATTGCAAATTGTAAGTCAAATGAAACCTTGCTATTCAAAACCTATTCTTCATGATCGCAAGACACTATTTTCTATTTAAAAGACGTCTGCTAAAATTTAATAAATAGATATTATTTATGATAGAAATGAAGAATTTGTGTTAGAGTATATGAATAGTACATGGTTATTTCAAACACTGAACCGATGCATACAAACAAAACTTTTTTCTGTCTGTTCATAAATATGAAATGTTAAATCCCAATCACATATGCCACCCTGCCTAGGTTAAATGGGAATATTTAAATCAATCATTATCAAAACACTAATACATTTTGTACTTGCACTTTGAGAACCATTTCACTTACTTTTCAGAGTCAAATTGATAAATTTTTTTGTTTGTATTTTAATGATATTTATTTCTTACTTGTAACTTGAATAATTAATATGTAATTTTTTATTGTATATTACGACAAATAATCAGTAAACTTTTTAAGCGTATAGCTTTATTGTACTTGACCTGAGAACTGTACATTTATAAATTTTACTTAATATACCCCGTTTCAAGCAACAAGGCAAAGTTTTCTGATCAATAACTTACTTCCTGAAAATACGGTATAACACAAATCGGAAGTTGATACGAAAATTCGAAATTTTACTAAAGAAAGATTGGAGGTTTTAATTTATACAATTTTCACAACTCTTATTTCAATTATTTATTCTACCCATTGAAAGTTTTTTGAGACAGGCCGCCATGTTATTTTCTGAGTCATTAACAAATTGGTACTCTGGAATTACGAGCAATTATTTTTCATTGTACGGGCTAGTATGAATTTCAAATCAAATCTCTATAAACTAGAAGCGCCAAAATTAAATATCGGCTGCTCTGGCGCTTATAAAAGCTGCTGTAAGCGCTGCATTAAAACGAGTGCAATAAGTTTCTAATTTGACCTAGGCTTCATGACATTTCAAAAAGTATCATCCAGAAAAAATTATCAGACAGAAATATGTATGTCGTGTTAAAATCGGAGAGACGAAGAAAAAATATATGGTTGCGTTATCACGAGAATGGCGATGGAGGGGCCCATTCTTATTTTCAATATTCATACAATAATATAAATTCATTCTGTTGCAATGAAATAAATGTGCAATGTATTGTTAAAAGTTATTACAATTATACAAACATTTACATATATGATTAAATAAAATATATATGTATACTATAATATAATTATATATTTTATATATATGTACATATATACCTATATATTTCAATTATTTTGAACTGTATTGCATAAATTGTTACTTATACAAAGTTATGTGATAAGAATCGAAAATACATATATTTGTGATACTTGAATTACTAGAAAGATGCTCTATATATCTGTACTTTAAAAAGTAACTGATATCCTAAAAAAATCATAAAAATGAAAAGGTCAGGCCATGTTCAAAAGAAGGTACTCAAAAATTTAAACCTTTCAAAATTTAAACGATCTAATAATAAATTATCACGAAAAGTAACTGATATGTTATTCAAGGTGCCAGTTCAAAGTGAACATACGTAAAGTGTATATTATCTAAATTTAGTAATAATAAATTACCATGAAAAGTAACTGTGATATTTTATTCAAGGTGCAAGTTCACATTGAACATACATACATATAAGTAAAACTGATTACAATTTGATTCTAGAAAATAAGTGCGATATGTTATTCTTAGTGCACAAAATATAATAGTCGTTTATAGAGATTTGATTTGAAATTCATACTAGCCCGTACAATGAAAAATAATTGCTCGTAATTCCAGAGTATCAATTTGTTAATGACTCAAAAAATAACATAGCGGCCTGCTCTCAAAAAACTTCGATGGGTAGAATAAATAATTAAAATAAGAGTTGTGAAAATTGTATAAATTAAAACCTCCAATCTTTCTTTAGTAAAATTTCGAATTTTCGTATCAACTTTCGATTTGTGTTATACCGTATTTTCAGGGAGTAAGTTATTGAACTGACGTTTACGTTTACGTTGAATCCTTATTCTAATCTAATCTTCTTCTAATGTAATACTTTTCGTACTTCAAATGTTGTAGTAATTATTCTGTAAGAGCTTTGACATTATTTCTAAATGGACATCGAAAAACATCATAGTTTTTTGCAAAGCAAAGTTTATAAGCGTACGTTTGCGCTGATTCTGTTGCAGATATAAGAATCTTTTTCTTCAGCGGGTTTCTTTTACTGGGCTTTGTCGTAGCGCCAGTACCGGATGATTACGTGGATTCATCGGAATCCGCGGAAATAATGGACAAGGATACGAATACGTGCCATTACATCAGAGCTAATTCGTTATTGGAAGCGAGATGCCAATGAAAATCGATGAAAATCTCGTTAGATTTGAATCCGGACATACAGGTGAGATTGTCGTTTAAATATATTTTATTTAAAATTGCAATAAAATAATTGGTATGTATATTTTTACCATTATAAAAGAATATTTTCTGCATATATATATATATATATATATATATATATATGTGAGGATTTTTTTAATCTTATCTATAATTCGCATAAAATAGAAAAATTTGTAACGAGTTGTAGAAATCCGTGAGACTCCATTTTATTTTTTATTTTTTTACAATAATTATGAAATTATGATTTATAAGTTATAAATAATATTGTAATAAAATTTGCTCGAATCTTATATTCTTCGCAAAGTAAAAAAACTTTTGTAAGAAATATTCTAAAATGCATTGTTCAAAAGATATTCGCGTGGATAGATTAAAATCGCCCACCCTGTGTACGTTTCATATCTGATAACACTCCTGACGTTCCTCCTCTGTTTGCTAGGTGCTCAATGTTACCGGGAAAATGTACCCGATAATCTTGAGTAACGATACTCTGCATCCTTACAAGAAGCTCGTCGCCATCTATCTACGTGACAATTGGCTTCTTGAATTCGACGAGGCACTTTTCGCCAATCAGCATTACCTGAAAGTGCTAGATCTCACGCGCAACATTCTCTTCAAACTGCCCAAAAATTTCTTCCAGTTTCCGTTTCTGCACACGCTCTATCTCGGCCACAACATGCTCTCCGATTCCGCATTTAAGATAAACGTGACCTCGCCTCTCAAACTGCTCCAGCTAAACAATAATATTATACACGTGATCCCGAACATAGGCGTCCAGCCGACTCTCATTCATCTCGACGTGTCCTACAACGTAATCACCTCGATCAGCACCGAGGATCTGGCTCCCTTCTGCTCGCTGAAAAAGCTCGATCTGACCGGAAATAGAATCAGATTCAACGCGAGCAGTTGTGATTGTCAAAGATTCAACGCCTGGGTGAAGCTACGACAGATCAAGATGAAGCCCGATCTCTACAAATGCATCGATCCACCAGCAGCTCTAAACAAAGACTGCGCCAAAGTGACATTCAGCGATCGGACGCACAAGCTGTTCAACGAGTGCTTGGCAATGGCACAACAGAAGATGAAGACCGCGAAAGCCTCGATCGGTCTGAAGAAGCGTCGCCCTGTGCGTCTCGGTGTTCCTCTTTTTAGCGTTGTTCTTCCTAGCGTTGTTCGTGCACAAGCGATACCGTAGGCGGCACATGAAGAAGAAGGAGCAGCTACCGGCGATCTACGACAACACCAAACTATTCCAACAGCAACCTGACGATGATTAGTGAAATAATCGCCGAATAAACGTAGAATCCTGTTAAAAGGGCTGTTTCTGGCGTCGACAATATGCGAGAGTAGAATTTTGCGAATAGAGTTGCAAACTCTTAAATTATTTACAACAGAATAAAATTTATTTGTTAAATAACAAGGCCCGCAATAATTCCGTTCAACAAGACATTTACTTATATCCGGACATAGACCCATTAAGGCCTTTTTGACGTCTAATTAAAAAAATTACAAGCATAGCGGTATTTCTTGGGAACTCTTACAATAGAAAAAAATTATTTATCCGGAAACAAGATCTGAAAAAATCTGTTTATAATGTTATTTTTGCATAAACGCTTAAATATCCGTGTAACAATTTATTACGGTCGACCCTGTGTTTGGTGCTAGAAAATACGAGTAGGGTTTAAAATCTATAAAATATATAAGTATATATAAGTAAGAAAAAAAGAGAAAAGTAACTGTTGTTCATTGAACTGGTGTTTATTGAAAGAGTTCAATAGACTGAGGATTCACAGAGGATTTATAGAGAATTTAATCGGATATATATCTACGTGCTTAAGTTTGTATTTGATCATTATTAATACATATCGCGTAATGTTCACTAAACATAAGATTATTGTAATAATTCAAATGCTGCTCTTGGCATGTATGCCATTTTTTGAAAAATATATTGCTTCTTGAAAGGAGTGAGGTACATATATTTTATAGTTTCTTGAACAAAGACAATATAACCAACAAAAGCGATATCAATTATGATCCAGAAACCGGAGATATCGAATAAAATACGTTGGACTTTTCATGGTACTTATTGTTGTAAAATATTTTAGACTTTTAATGGAAAAAAATGTGAAAGCAGGCTTTATATATAACAAAAATAATTAATGATAAAGACAGTTCCGCGAAGATTAATATGATATGAACGCGTTAACTTATAAGAAAAATTTATAAATGTTATTATATTGTGTTCGCGTATATAATGGTTAACGATATTTTTATATAAAAATTTATGTGAATGTGGCAAAATTTTCGAGAATCTTTCCGGGTGTGTGAACGAATATTATACTATACTCTAGGCGGCGATATATGTAGGAAGAAATTTCGGCGTTAATTTCTTCGATGCCGGTCAAATGAAAACCGATCGCTCAATGTCGTCGCGCGCTTTTTGTTGATGTAATAGCCATTTGTTTTGCGACAATTTTTTAGAATTATTGACTTCGTGTCTTACGATTGCTAGGGGTAATACTTCATTTTACTTACAACTGGCATTTGCAATCATGAATTTATATCATATAAACAAGAATGTAACTAGCTTTTTATTGTACGGTGAATATGACCATAAAAAATGGTCGAAACGCTCGAAAATTGAATAAAGAGTAAATTTGTTTTGCGCATTGATTTCTGTATGTATAATATATAATTTTCAAACATGATTAAGCTAGTAACCTTCCTCCATTCTACAGAAAAGCATTACAAGAGAAGAGATATTGTAGAAACAATCTTCATAAAAATGTATAAAGTTTCTATAAATTAAAAAAAAGCACAGACAATTTAAATTTAATATACGATTCGATTCTTAATATCATATACGCTTCTTCTGAAATAATATATCTCTCTAGGTCACCGCTACTGTTTTGATACCAACACAGAGAATTTAGTTCGTATTGAATTCTCGATCGACACATATCGTTTCTCGACTACCACACGACTTAATTTCAACGTACCTGTGTAATAAAGTAAAGTTCTGTGGTGTGTTTAAGTTGACTAATTTTCTCTAGGTAATGTGACACATTTTTATCATTTCGCTTTTATAACTATTGTAGGTCCTACTCTTTATTTATTTTTTCATACGCGCACAACCATGTTCGCTCTTTTTTTCTTCCTTTTCGTTTAATTTGTATTTTGCATACCGGTATACAGTTTCAATGCTTGATACTTTATTATATTGTCACGGAAATTCATATCATTTTTAATTAGATTGATTGTAATGTTTATACCACACACGTCTAGGTTTATCGACATATATGTGTAATATCGTAGTCATTTATTAAAACTTTGTTTTTTACTATCAATTTTTATTAGTAAGTGTCATATTTTGTGTATTTAATTTAGATATATTAATTGTAGACACTTGACCAAAATTGTCGGTCGAATGGGTCAACAATAAACATGAGAATTGTAACCAGTCTGGTCGCCTACTTTCGGTGTCCTTGATAATGTATGTATAATAATAAAATATATATTATATAAAATATAAAATAATATAGCACATATATTATATAACAAATATATAATTTAAAAAGTGATAGAGAGAGAGGGAGATATTCCGTGATATGAATATACTATAAATGATAATGTTGCGGTGTAAAAGGGGAATCGCAAATATTGCACTTTTGCGACCGATTAATTATCCGGTTTCGGCAAAGTTCGAACAAAGTTTATAAGTATACATTTCTGTTGATTCTTTTCCAGATATGAGCATCTTTCTCATTAACGGATTCTTCTTACTGTGCTTCGTCGTGGTCACAGTACCGATGTTCTGGTGCTGGGTTCACCGGAAGCCGCGAAAATAATGGACCAGAATCCGCCACCGACTATGTGCACCTACAGTAGAACTAATTCAATATTGAAAGCGCGGTGCTCCAAATTAAATCGAACGAAATTCCGTTAGATTTGAAGGCGAACATACAGGTAAGATTTTCAAATATGAATAAAAATATATTTTACATAAAATCGCAATAGAAAATTGTCAGGTATGCTTTTGCTATTATAAAAGAATATTTTTTGCATATATCGCTATAATCTTTTCTTTATCTTATCTCTAATTTGCATAAAATAAAGGAATTCATAACGTGTTTAAAAATCCGTTAGAGTCCGTTTCATTCTTTTGACAATAGTTATGAAATTAAGATTTATGAATTAAATATAATATAATAAAATTTACTTATATTTAAATTTGCACGAAATCCAATAAGATTTGATGGCGGACATAAAGATGAGACTGTTGTATAAAAATATATCTGATTTAAAATTGATATTAAAAAATAATCATATGTTTTTTCCATTATAAAAGAACATTTACTGCATATATAATGACTTTTTGTATCTTATTTGCAACTCGCGCATGAAATAGAGAAATTCGTATTAACGAGTTCTAAAATCCACGAAACTATTTTCATTTTTTTTTAAATATGGGAAATTAAGAATTACAAATTAAAAACAATATCATAAATCTTTAAATTTATTATTGAATAAAGTTTATGTTATATTTAATTTTCCATATAAAATTTTTTATCATATATTTGATCTTCGATGGTCCTATAAAAGTTATCTTCAATTTCTTAAATGAAAACTTCTATTTTTCAATGCATATATTGTAACTACTTCCATTTAAAAATGGAAGATAACCTTTATGTGATCTTTAAGTGACTATGCAAAATCAAACCAATGACACCATCTTATATTTCTCTCGAAATAAAAAAAATTTTATATGAAGTTTTTCAAAATGCATTGCTCAAATGATATTCGCGTGGATCGATTAAAATCGCCCACCCTATATACGTTTAATCTCTGATTTCCGAGCCGAAGCTCAATGTCGTCGCGTGCTTTTATCGATGTAATAGCGATTTGTTTTGCAACAGTTTTTAAAAATGTTTACTCTGTGTTTTACGATTGTTAGTGGTATACTTAGTTTTTTTTCATACAGCTGGCGTTTGCAACCATAAATTTATATTATATAGACAAGAATGTAACTCGCTTTTTAATGTACTACCTTTGAAAATGACCATGAAAAATGGTCGAAACGTTCGAAATTCAATAAAGAGTAAATGTTTTGCGTATTGATTTTTTTATGTATAATATATAACTTTCCATTATGATTTGACTGGCAATCTTTCTCCATTCTACAGAAACGCATTACATACAAAGAGATATTGCGGAAACGGTTTTTATAATAATGCATAAAAACTCCATGAATTACAGAAGGGCGCAACAGACAATTTAAAAATTTAATATACGATTTGATTCTTAATATCACATTCAGTTTCCTCGAAACAGCTATACCTCTTTTGTTCAATGTTATTGTTTTGATCCCAACACGGAAACTTAGTACGTATGGAACTGTCGATCGACACACATCGTCTCTCGATTCACCCCACACGATTTCATTTGACCGTACCTGTGTAATAAAGTAAAGTTCTGTGGTGTATATAAGTTGAAATAATTTTCTCTAGGTATTGTGACACATTTTTATCATTTCGCTTTTATAACTACTATAGTGTCTACTGTTTATATATCAATGCGCACGATCATTTCCGTTCCTTTTTTGTTCTTTTGGTTATTTTGTATCTTGCATGCCGGTATACACTTATAATGTTCGATAATTTTTCATATTGTTACGGAAATTCATATCAATTAGATCGCGTTATATGTGTAATATCTTTATACTATATTTTTTACTATCAATTTTTTACTAGTAAGTGTCATATTTTTTGTATTTAATTTATATGTATTAAGTGCAGACACTTTGACCAGAATAGTCGGTTGAATGTGTCAACAATAACTCTTGAATCGTAGTCCGTCTGGTCGTCTACTTTCGCTGTTCTTGATATAATATATAATAATAAAATATATATGAAATATAATAATAATATAAAACATATTATATAACAAATATATAATTTAAAAAAATAATAGAAAGAGATGGGGATATATTGGTAATACTAAATATTATAAATGATAATAAGGCGGTGTAAGAAG